TCATGCCGAGTGTGTCGGTGAGCCCACTCTTTGCTCCTCACTAACACAGTTTTCATGAAACAGAGCAGAAATAAACCGAGCTCAGCTTCTTTTTCTCAGCAGTGCGCACACAGCGAGCGGCTTCTCTCTGCTGAATCTGTAATACTGTTACTGTGTTAGATTAATGCCTGAATGTTGGCACACGCATGTGGCACGGTAACATTATATCAAAACATACTGATTTTCCTTCAGCCTCCTCTCACTTATCAGAACTGCCTATTTTGAGAGATTACCACTGGACTGAAACCCGAGTTTACACTGGATTATTTTGGTAAGAAGGCCTGCAATCTGCAGCACTTTATTCCTACCTCTGTGCTTATGTTGAGTGTTTGGAACGAGCAAAAGCATCTGGTCTGCTGACCTGAGAGAATGAGGCAGGACATAAGGGTGTAGCAGCTCAGACAGATAACATGAGGCACAGCCATTAATAGGAGATAGGAGGCGATTTTGGAACACGGACATTGTCTCAGTCTCCTTTGTCACGATCTTCCTCTGTCCTCCCCTGCGTGGTTTCCAGAAAAATCCTTAAGTCTTTATGTGTTCCTTTCTATATGTCGACAATACACACCACACTTTTACTTTTAAGCACTTTTAATTTTAAAAGACTTCTTTTTCAGTTTTCCACCAATAAATCTTGAAGTTGACCTTGAAGACGGTCAACGGTGGATGTGAGCCAAATTTTAATGCTTTGTTAAGATGACCCCGCTCTACACCCCTACAACATTTTAACAGAATTCATTCGACACTTTTTGAGCTATATGTTTGCAGAGAGTATGGCATTGCATACGCTACCACAATTTCTTGGTAAAACTATACGTGGCAAAAAAGCCCATGAGAACTCAGTGCAACACATGGCCTCTGTGCAGAACACCAGAGGTGATGTATATCAATGATTTCTAATCACCGAATACTCTGCGGTCTATGATGCATGTCGTATAGCCTCATTAGTAATCAGACATCTTCTGTGGTGATGCACACCACCTCTCAGTGATTAATTCTTCAGTTAATGAGAAAAACCACTTTGCTCTCAGTAACCATAAAGTCCCATGTGAGTTTATCATTCTTAACATGTTTGCTGTGTGCTCACCACTACTGTTAGCATCAGTAGGTCCTAAAGATAAAATGGCCATTCGTTGTGTTTAAACCCTCCTAACGACGCTCCTTTCCCTCATTGTTTATCTTCTCTCTGTATCGTATCATGCTTGTTGGTGTCCATCTTTGTTTTGGTATTGCATGGACAACAACATGGTAGCGACTACCCAGAATGTATTGCTATTACAGAATTCCATTTCATATCATTTATGTCTTCCTACACTTCCTGATTCATTATATTCACCGTCCTCCATCCATTCTCCTCCCTCTCTATCGTTTTCTCACATCCATCAGCTCCTCACAGTGCTCCTCCCATCTTCTCCACACACTCTCTTCACTTGTTAGAACATTTCAGTTTCGATCCTGAATCTTCCTGCACATCCTTTCCAGTCTCCAATTTCCAGCTTCAAACTCATGATTCTGTCCAAAACTCTCTTTACCGCCAAAGCACTATTTACATATTATTCATTCAAGAGACCAAGCTCCATACAGGAGGGCACTACCACTTTTCCGTAGGAGAACCTCGCTCCATAAACAGTTCACACAATTGAAGAAATGGTCCCAAGGAGGCGCTAAATGAAAAGGCATCTCCTTCCTGTTTTTACATTGCTGGTGGACAGATTATGAGCCAAGTACCATAATGTTATTAGTCTTGGTTCAAGTATGAAATCAGTAACTCGGTGGGATATTGTTGTTTTGAGCTTTAACAGTGGTGTAAAAATGTTTCAACAACCCAGCTTTTTAAAGGTTTAGACATGCCTGATGGTGTACAAAAGTTGTGGTGTGAGAGACTGTGAGAAACTTGCAACCATTAAACAGCCCGTGTGTTTCAGGATGATGGGGTAGTGTAATACTGATGAACAAGATAATGTAAAGATAATACAAGTGCCCAAAAAAACAGGATGTGGTTAGAAGTCAAATTGTGATCATCAGATTTGACAGAGCAACAGCTGTATAAAAGGTCAATTTCACACTCGCGCCAACACAACTTCACCTTTTTGCTGGCATCATGCTCAGTCTGCAAAAAATCCTGCTCCTCCATGTTCTGGCATGTCTCGGACGACTCGGTAAGATCTGCAAA